CTTTCATTTAAATATTTTCCACGTAAAAAATTATATCAATTAAACACAATAATTTACATTTCCTAGGAAAACATTTTCCCATCAATTCAATTCCCTGGAATTCGTTTTTTTTCCACCCAAATTCCACATTTGCAATCAAACAGACCCTAACTTCAAAGATAGAAACAGACTTAGCTAAACTTACAAATTTTGACAACTTCAATTGGAAGATATCACAAGACATTGATTTTAGAATCCGATTCTTGAAGAAGAAGAAAACAATAATGTATCTTTTCCACTATGTTGAGTATCGTTCATTATTTAATTTTCTAAATTTAGAGTTTGATTTGGAACCTACTCTATTATGGATTCTGGGTTTTCAATATGGATTTTCTTGATTGCCAAAAAGAGGAAGGAAAGAAATAAAGAAATGAATGTATTGCTTTTCAATGGGATATTGGAACAATTAAAACAATGTTGAAGTATTAGAGATAAATTTAGTAATATTTGAAATTATAATAGGGATGAAATTAGAATGTGATGAACATATAAAAGTAACTAGCATATATAATGTTTAAATAAATAAATTTAATAAGGATAATATTGGAATCAACATGGATGAATATAGTAATTTTCATAAAATTTAAAATGCTAATAGGAAATAATTCAGAGCGAGATAAATATATAAAAATTGTGGATGAAAATAATAGTACCGTATTTATCTAGTGAATAAAAATTGCCATCTTACCGTGCACGTGCAATTATATTGTCACACCGAGCTCAAACTCTTGCAGGGACTTTAATATAGCTATTTTTTGACAATTGCGATAACTTTCCTAGCAACACCATGTTGATTTGCATGGTGGTGTCGTGTTTGATGACAATATCGTCAAACGATAAAATCTAACTTAGATTATTCATAATTTTATAACATCTCAAAGACAGATGAAAACAAGAATTGGGTGAAAGTGTACAACACAAAAAATAGCGCTGATAATTGACCCCCATTTGATTTCCATTCTTTGGCTACAAAAATGAAAAATATGATCGTTATCCATCATATCAAACCATCATATTTGACTTTCTATTTCTTGTGTGGATCCCGTAACAATTATATTTTTCATTCTCATTCTTACAAAAATGGGTACCAAACGGGACCTCAAATTTTCCTCTTCCCACAATCAATTTCTCTAATTACACATTGGAGTGTCTTTGCAGGAACACTCGATGATTCGTGTTGGCAAAATAGCCGTGGAAAGAGATCATTCAATAAAAATTACAAGGGTCATGATAATTTGCAGGAACTAAACTCGATATAAACAAATTCACATTGTCTTTGGAAAAGACGTGTTGCATTGGCAAAAACGAAATAGAACACTCGTATAGAGGAAGCACAACTATACTACACGTCAAAGCAATTAATGAGTAAATATGATTCCTGCCACAGTTGTGACCAGAAAAACGATTTTCTTGCCAAACCGAAATAAATCAACCCTCTTTCCTCGTTAAAGGTGGGATGCACATCCTCCAAAGGATCTTGGTTTGGCATGCGAATAAGTGTACATGGGCAGATTTTTTTTCTACTTCGAGGTGGAGTAGCTTACTGGGAAAGAAGAAAAGTTGGCTCAAGTGCTTTAACGGTCATGGAGCAGTTGTCCCACTACCCTACCAATTCACTTCTTTAGCTCAATTAAGCGCCTCAATAGTCAATGGGGAAACCATTAGCTCAGAATTTGATGTTGCTTCAGAGCTTAGTCTGTCCTGGCAAAATCAACTTTTGAGAGCACAATTTAAAAGGCTGGACTTCGAAAACAAAGATTTGCCAAAACTTCACAAGGCCCAAGAATTTCTTGACATTGAGCACGTGTAGTTCAGGTTTTCAATAATTGGCATGGGTAAACTACATAGACCCGGCTTTCCATGTGCCGGAATAAAATTAAGCTCTATGTAAAGGCCCAAGCCTAAGCCATGGGAGGCAGTGGCTAAATAGTTACCTCGACTACCCTAAAAGGTGGAAAAAACAGAAAAGAGACAATAAAATTGTACTTGTGGGTCCCACGAAATATGTAAATAAAAGTTAGGAACCTACAGATTTTAATCAGTTCTTCCACAGCTAAAACTTGAGCTCTCTCTATAGAAAACCCCATCTTTCCACCAACCCTCCACCACAACATGCACAGAGCCGGTGAATTTCATCTTAACCAAGTAATCTTAAATTCATAAGTGAAACCAGGTTGAATTGCATGTTGGCTAAATACGGATCTGTGGAAGGTTAGAATCTGTCCATAGTTTCGGATTAACGTAACTTAAACGAGGTGCTCAACAAAGAGTGGTCCAAAAGGGGGTTGAACAACCAGACCACTGTGAGGGTCTTCACTAACAAAGAATCGATAAATGTCAAATTACACACACACACACGCACGTGAATAAAAAGCTTAGAATCATATCCTTGGCCTGTGGTTAGAGAGAAAACTGAGGGAAGTAGAAAAAAGACAGTAAAAGGAGTACCCTGATTAATAGAAATAAAAGACAGAAGCAAAGAGAAATGGTAAAAGCCCACTATTTCTTTACAAACGAGAAGAGCTGAAGAAGCTAACCAAAGCCAAGTTAATATTAATAATCATTACAGGGTGCTAGTGTCACTCGGACTGCATACTGCTATTAGTTGTCTCTTCCAACTCATTCTCTCTCCATCTCAACCCTTCTCTTCCTTGTTAAAAGAATGTATTTTCTCCTAGGGGAATTGGATAAATTAGTTTCTTTATTCTTCATCTTCCCCAACTTTTCACAGTGAAATATCCTTATCAGGTCTTATAATTTAGAAATACAAAGATTAATTGCAGAATTCTGTAAATATTTGTAAATATTTGGTCAATTGCTGATCAGTACTTTGTCCTATTCTAGGGACCAGTTGGACCGAACACTCTATTTGAGAAATTTCCTACTATCAGGTAACAACCATTATTATTGTTCTTTTGATTTCACATCTTTTACTTCAACAATCTATAATATATTAAATATCACATCAAGTGAGAATCATTTTTTGAAAAATTATAGCCTGCCACAATTCAATTATTTCAATAATATCTTACTTTTCATTTTTCCAATATGTATTTAATTTGCAAACAATAATAAATACTATAAAAATTCTTGTTCATGTGTTTATTAAAATTCTTGTTCATGTATGTATTCTCTAATATTAATTCTCAATTAATTAACATTCACATTCATTTAATTAATACTAATTATAATTTCACATTCAAAAATATAATTCATTATTCACGTTCATGTATGCTATTTAGTTTCACTTAATTGAAAATTAAATTATATTCATTTAGGCCCTATTTGATACAACAAATTTTTCATTAAAAACATTTTCCACATTTTTCATTGTTTGATTGGTATAATTTTCTTGGTAATTGATTTTCCCTCCCCTCACATGACCCATTTTTCCTTAATTTGGTGGAATTTTAATTTCCATGATTTGGGTGGGAAATCAATTTTCAGGTTTTTTATTTTGTTGGCAATGGAAACAAATTCTAACCCTTTAATTGATAATTTTCATAAAAAATAAAGTCAAACGAACATCAAAAGATTAAAAATTTCAACAATTATATCAATCAAATACATTTAATTGACAATTTCTAGTAAAATAAATTTTAGACGATTTAATTCCCTAAAATTCATTTTCTTTCCACTCAAATTTTATTCTTACAATCAAACGGACCCTCAGTATAAATGATTCAACATTCATTGTCACGTATATATTCCTTGGTATTAATTCTAAATTATTAACATTCACATTAATTCATGTATCGTATTAACCGTTCATCTTCATTTATGCATTTAGTTGTAATTCTAATACTTAAATTCAAGTATGCATTTCACTATTTACGTGATTGTATAATAATTAATATTTATTTTCAAGGACTTGTATTTTTCATATTTGAATCAAAAGGGTAAATGGAGGGTCAAATATTACTTTCACAGCACTAATAAAGCATTTTAAAATAACGTGCAACACTCATTTAACTCTGACTAGTCTGATTAAATTTACACTTCAGCCTTTAGTAGGTAAGAATTACAAGGCGCATATTGTTGTAACTGCGGCACAAGAAACATCAGACCAAGCAACAAAATGATAGTCAAAGAATATCAATTCCCTCATGGGGAAGGGAGAGAAAAACAAATAAGGGAAACCAAGGAGGAAAACGACAAAAGAGATAGGAAAAAGATTGAAATGTAGTGATATTGTGCAAATACTCTTATATAATACCAAGAGAAAATGTACATAAAAAAAGTGAGTATTATAGAGTAAACTCTAATCAAAGCATGCTCACGACATACCACTCAATGATCTCTTGCATCCACTCACAATTTCCATTACTCAGTTTTAAAAAACTTTGCGATAATATTAGCTGCAAAATACTAACCTACATTATTGATATTTATGTTCCAAGGCCATTTTCATGTCTTCATACAGTTTCAAACAAAATTTCATATGATGAACATGGTTATGCTAGAAAACAATCATATTACAGCAGCTAATTTATTCCATACGTAAGGCACAGATACAATTAAAACACATAGTGAAGAACAATATAAGTCATACTGCACGAAATGACTTCACGTCCCTAGATTAATGGAATTCACCAAACATCATTTTTCAATCATCAGTCTGTAGACTGTAAGTCATCAATGATCACAGCACAGCAAAGAGTTATCAAACTTTGTTCTTAAAGCAGCGGGAGAGAAGTTATCTTTTGTGGTCATATCACTCTGATAGTGTTAAGAGAAAAAAAATCAAAAATAGAAACCAGAAACACAACTATGAAAATAAGAATGCTACGCATACAATCTAACTTTAAGTAGAAATCAAGGTCGCTAATAATAGAAGCAGTCATCGTCAACCAGCAACTTACTGACCACTGCAAACCTCATTATGCAAACCAGTTAATAATAGTGAAGTGCATCCCTCCACAGAGTTTCACTATGAAATATAAAGAACCGCAACAATTAGGTGTCATCATAAATGCTCAATTTCTTTGTATACGAAAAACTCCCTTGAAGATGAGATTACAAGGTTTCGGTTAACAGAGAAAAGTAAGATCGAGCAATTGTTCAATCCATAACTCTACAGCTGAAGGTACAGAAAAATGTGAAAGATATCAGTGATACCTAATTGTCTTGACAAGGAGACGAATGGTGACAGGAGTTTACGCCTGAGTGCCGGTCATGGCCTTCATTTGAATGTGACTGGAATCAGCGGCAGCAGTTGGCAAGGCCTCGTAAGAGCCGAATCTGTTGCGGATACAAGCGGTCCTGGCAACGGCAGCATACACAACCATGAAGACGAGGAGCACAAGGAGCACGTGGAGCACGAATACCAGATCCAGGATTGTCACGGCCCTGAGCTTGGAATCTTCCAAATTACACTTGGTGGAGCCCTCTACTCCGCTGACGACATCGAGCAGCTTGTGGCAGCCCTCGGGAATGAAAGCGTCAACGTAGAGGGAGAGGCCGGTCTGTAGGGCCCATAGGCCCTGCAGGCAAAGGGATGCCCCCAGGCCGGCATCGATGACGAACAGCCTGGGTTGGAAGGCAAGAACAAGAGACAAAGCAGAGGAAAGGGCAGAGATGCGGGCAGCCACTGAGTCGCACTTCGCCTGGAGATCAGAGGTCTGGATGGCGGCGGCGGCTGAGGAGACAGAATATTGGAGGAAGAAGATAGCGGATGCAATGGCAAAGAAGAGATCTGGCGGAAGAGGGAGGAGGGAGGTGGCCTCGGAGAGGAGTAGGCAAATGGAGAGAAAGAGGAAGCAAAAGAGAACGGCGGCGGCTTGGAGGGAGGTGAAGCGGTGAACAGGGGTTCGACCCTTGAGGAGGGGGTCAGCGTCGGAGGAAACGAGGATCTGGTGGACCAAGGCAATGAAGAGACAGAGGACGATCAAATAGAGCTGGAGATACTTAAGCAATCGAGTTGATGAAGAAGAGAAAGGGAGAGGATGATAAGGTTTAGCGACGTAATCGCGCGGGGACTTGAGATGGTTTCTGGTGGTGCAGATGAGATGGTAGAGCCCCAGCGATAACAGTGCTGAAGAAGAGAATATGTTGTAAATTAGGGCTGCCATTTCTTAACTCAAACCTCTATTTGACTATTTCCTTGATATTGTTTCACCACGAAGACCGACCACTACCGTATTTTGGAAAGATCTATCATTCACTATAGCTGCCCACAATAGTTATTCAGCATTCGCCGGAAAACTGAAAATAGGAGAGGTTACACTTCCGCTATAAACAGACTCTCCAGACCCCCCCGCCATTCGTGCCAACTTTCTCCAGTTTTTATTCCCTCCCCCCGGCAAACCAAAAACAGGCCAAACTATTTATTTATAAATTAAATCGTTTATAATTCCTTCTACGTTAAATATCACAAATCATTTATAATTTTTTCCCAAGTGATGGTAGCAATGGCCGATGGTATGTCGCGGTGGCTTTTAGCAGTTAGGGATGATTAGGGGTGTCAAAATTGACCTACGAATTGTCCCGTCATACAACTGGGCTAGTTCATAGGTCAATAAATGTAAAATCCAATCCAAACCGCTTAAAATTGTTGAAATGGGGAAGCGGAATTAACCAAAAATTAAAAATTTCTTTATTTTTATAAGTAGGATCGTCTAGATGTTTATGTTATAACAAAATTAAAGGATTTGAATCTCACATAAATTCGATGATCAATCTTTGAATTGATTTTGAAACACGAACTTCCAGTTCCTTTGGTTGCAAGAATCTTATTGCTTCAAACTTTCAAGTTTTCTAGGATATTCTCCAACAAAAAAAACTACACCGACTTGTGAGCACCTTCTTTTAATTAATTCAAAAAACTAATTCTTTAATTGAACAATTGGAAAGCAAGAAAATAAATATTTTCTCTCTCTAATTTTGAATTCTATGGAATTATGAATTATGAATGTTGTAGTATTTTTTCGTCTATCTTGTTTCTATTTATAGAGAAAAAGATGATACAATTTAAGTACAAATATAATTTTACATTCAAACAAGAGTTATAATTAAAATCCAAGAAGAGTTTTAATTTAAATCTAATTCCAATTAGTTTAAAATTAATTACATGTGTAGTCCTAGAACTTTAATTACAATTATAATTAAGTTTATAACTTTCATAGTAATTACAACCTAGTACAAATTTTATTGTAATTACAATTATGCCCAAAACTATTATAATTGTCATAATTAAGTTCCAATACTTTATGGAGCTATCACAGGACCTGATCAAACATATATTATCCAAGCACCAATAATTAGATCATATCTAGTCGACCCTAGATATCCAATCTAATTATTAGTCTTTGTTTTCTCCACTAAAGACAATAGACTGAACTCTTGGAATATATAAGATCATAAAAGCCAACAAATTTGTAATACTTTCACTTGACCTGTCGTATATATATTTTATTCTCGTTCGAGATTCGATAATTAGGTACGAGCATAAATGATCATTTTGCCCCTCTAATTATTCTCACTAACGTAAGTATCATTTTCTTCAACGGTCTTGTGAACAAATCATAGATATCGAAATTTAGCCGTCACTAAATACTGAGTTCAAATTTTAACCGTTCAACAGCAAATATTTAAGTAGTCATTCTATCCTCTTTCAGGATGACGGTTCACGACACGAATTCATGTTCTCTACCCCGCTCATTCTTGAGTTCCCAACTTATTGAGATATTTGATCAATCAAATTGATCTCATCCATTGAGAATCAAAGAACAAATAAAATCGTGAAAGATATACATAATCTCATCAAGGGATCCAGATGAAATACACAGCGGTCAAGTGTAATTTAATTTTCTGCACTGTCATGCTATAGAATTAATTCGACATACAGTCCGTTCAATATACTCTAAGAGCCCGTTTGAGCCACATTATTTGTAAAATGAGAATGAAAAAAAGTCGTTATGGGCCTTACACAAGAGATAAAAATTCAAAAATGGTGGCTTGATATGATGGATAACTGTCATATTTTTCATTTTAATGAGCTAATAATGAGGCTCAAATAGGACCTAAGTGTACTAATTCACCTTTAACTATTTTTGTGATAAGGACAAATCTCAAACCCGAATAGTGAATTGGTAAACACTACAACCTTCTAGTACAAGGTGCCAACCCTTATACATAGATTCTGAACAAATTATGTATGATTAAAATATAAGTTGTGTCGCATTGTACTTCTCAACACAAGTACCAAACTCATATTATCACAAGTGATCACAGACACTTAAATTTTGCATACTCAATAAATAAATGCAATAAATAAAGTAAATATAATTTTATTTAATATATAAAAATATTTTTATTTTTACATCAGTAAAACTATACTATATGGGCACACAACCCAACAAAAATGACCATCGTCAAGCTTGTTAATATTTTAAAAAATTGTTTAATATACGTCTTCTTTTGTGTATTTTCTCTTTTTGAAAGAAAGCAAGTATGCCTTCATAGGCTATGACATTCTGCCTTCTTTCAAAGAAGTGACTGTGACTACTCGAAAGTTTTTTGGTTCAAGATTTGATAGTCGCTAGATTCATTTGAATTACTCTTTGAAGTTTTTAACCGGTTTCGTGTCATGATTTTGACTTCCTAAATTCATTAGGATTAGGTATACCAAACAAAAGTAGTATCACTAACTTAACCACTTGATTGTGAACACTATAGTGTCTATAGAATATAGTAAAGGATAGAATATAGAATTTCAAATAAATATTAAATATTCTAGAACATAACCATTAATATAGCGATATAAAATTTCGATTTCTTTATCACAATTCTAATATTATTAGTATAGTAAATCTTAAATATTTTTAGATAGTCAAATTTTCTTTTTCATTTTTGTTTGAATTTACATGACATTTGACTGTACAAAATTTTGCAAATTGCATAAGGACGACCTACTAAAAAGATCGGCCCGTATAGATCTTTACCAGGGAGGGATGATTCAATCTAGCCCATCCATTTTGACATCGCCACTAAGTAGGGTTAAGGAAGAACATAGCATCTTTGTTATTTGAGTAATATTATTCATAGTTGCTTACTACGGCATGCGCATCAAATAATCACCTACTAAATGTATGTCATGTATGACGACTGCAAATATCATTATTCTTGTTATTCTTCATTTTTAGACACATTTGATTCTTTTTGTTTCCCTTTTTTGTTTTTCTTTTCTATTTAAATTGAACGGCTTAAATAGTGTTTTTACGTGATGTTTGAAAATCAAGTTGGAAAAGTTTTTTTATTAGGGATTTCCTGTGCCTATTTCCTCAAATGTGAGATGTAAGTGTCATTTTCAAATGTTGGGGTATATTCCAACCATTTTTGTAAGGTAGGAGACCAAATATGCGATTTTTTTAATTTTTAAATAGATAGAAAAGAATGGTGGATAGTATTTGTGAACAATGATATATTCATATTCAACTATTACGATAATCTTTCTACGTGGCATCTTACCTGGCGTAATTTTAATAATAAAAAATAAAAGGAAATAATAAAATGTTTTCAATTGCTTAATCAAGAAAAATCATGCCTCCATCCTGAAGATCTCTCCTTCCAAGTTTTCAATCTTCCTCCCAGACTCCGGTAACCAAAAACACTCATCGACGTCGTATCCACTCTCCATCAAGTACTGTTTTCAATTTTATTTATAAAATCCCTAAAATTAAAGAAACCCACGAATTCCATTCCACCTTTCTAGGCTTTCTCCAAATCATTAACACTGATTTCAATGAAACCCACAAAAGTTGGCTTTGCCAACTCCGTGCCTCCATGATCTTCTTACTAACAAAAAATTCTATTGTGTTTTTACTATCGCAAGTGTACGATATTGAACAAGTAGTATAATGGATCTATGAGTCTGAATTGTCGTTCCCACAATGACTAAACTTTAGCACTTAATCTAATTTTCTTTCTAACTACTATTCAACAAAAGCAAACAAAGATTTATATGTTTTGATTTTTAAGTTAATTGCATAAAAATATGTGGATGCACACAAAAATTGGTTTAAAGATTAAATAATGAACAAATATTAGGGCAGAAAAATTTCACCTATTGATTGCCTCTACATCTTAATCAAGATTCATATCTAATGTAGTGTTAGGTCAAATTCTCCTATTGTATTCAATTCACCCCTCTCGAATTCTCATCAAACCTATTTAACTAATTCTATTCCATATCTCTATACAAATCAAGTTTAGTTAAATGAAATTTTGGTTCTAAGAATTCACTTATGATCCCAATAATTAGTATAAGTATCTCTACACGTTATAAAAATTTATCAAATTTTACTATATGATCTAAATCCTAAACTCACCTCTCGATTCGTAAAAGATTCACAAAATTATCTAATTAGTGATCAAATAATTTAAAGCATTATGCTTATAGTAAAATCAATACATAAACGAATAAAGAACAAGAATATTAAATAATAGATGTAAAGGCTCCCAAGTAGATTACGTTATTCATCCTAACAAGAATTTTAGTTATTCATAATAGCAAAAGAAAAACAAATAACAATAGTGAAGTCCATCACCTGATTTTGAATTTAGAAGTGGAGGAATTGATGAATCTTGCACCATGTTCTTCTTCTCATTCCAAATCTTGATTTCCTACCCTTAAATTGTTGTTTTTCCTCTTAAATTTTCTCTCTAATTCTAATTTTGTGTTCTTACCTCTCAATGTGTGGAATTCTCCTCAAAAGTGTGAAAAAATTGTATTTATAGTTACCTCCTCGTGTGAGTAGAAAGTAAGGTTTTTACAGATTTCAAAACAGGTAAAAAATGCACACTAGATGTACCTAGGCGACACCTTGATGCCATAAGAATGGCACCATGGCACTGCGACTCTATTTTGATGGTGCTGCGGCGCCACTTTTCGGGTAGAACTCAGCATTGTACATTATCCAGTATTTTTATCATAACTTTCTCTTTCGATATCCAATTTAGGTGATTTAAGTCGGGTTACAAAGATAACTCAAAGGGATACAACTCTTCTTGAAATAGCCTTTTTCTAATTTGAATGTTTACTAGGTCAAAAATGGGTTTCAATCTTGAGCTGAAAATCCGAAACGTACTTAAGCCGTTGAAAATCAACACCATGTCCATATTTTTATCATATTTCAATCCTTTTGACTTCTAATTGCATCCAATTGATCCCTAGTACTCTCAAATCTTCATCATGAGGTTCGAAATAACTTTTTGAGTATTTACACTTTAGTCTTCAAACTTTGGATCTTACCCCTCCTTTTTGCCACAATTTCTATTCAATTCATGCCAATAGCTTCATTTGATTAATTTTTTTGCAAGGATTGCGTCGCACGCCCACAAAGA